TCATGATCTGGATTCCTTCTGTATTTGCGTGCTTCTCTTCTTCAACTGGTAAATGTTCTGTCTGCAGTGGTACGTGTTCTGTCTGTGGGTATCCTCTTCTGAGTCCTCATTAAATGAGTCACACTGACTTTCATTAGTCTTTAAAAGGTGTCGTCGATTTCGTCTGAATATTCGACCATCTTGAGTCTGTACCAGATACGATTGTGGTGCCGTATCATGTTGCTCAATGTCAGTCACTCGTACCCACTTTCCTTTACTTTGCATTCTTGTGACCTCTCCTTTGCGAAGGGGCGGTAGAACTCTTGACCCAATGTCATAGTATTTCTTTTGGATTTGCTGACTAGAACGCAATTCTTTCACAACATTTTGTTGAATTTGTAGCTGTAACAATGATGTAATGGTCGAAGACGACACTTCAATCTGCGACTCATATAAAGTTGTGCTGGCGATTTATTAACGCTATCCAAAGGACTATTACGGTATTCCAGTATTGATAAATAGGATCTTAGCCAGTTATCATCAGCTTTCTTTAGTAATTTTTTCCTGTTTGGACTGTTCTTTCAACCTGTCCATTGGACTGAGGATACCCAGGACTCGAAGTGATGTGAAGAAAGTCCCAAACTTCGGAAAAGTTCTTGAATTCAAAACTTGCGAACTGTGGTCCATTATCGCTGACGACCTCATCCGGTATTCCATGACGGGCAAAAATTGACTTTAATGCAGTGATGGTTGCTGAACTCCTTAAACTCGGAAGCTTACCTACTTCTGGAAATTTAGAATAGTAGTCAACACACAGAGGATAGTTAGTGCTCTTGAACTCGAATAAATCAACTCCTATCTTTGCCCATGGCCGGTCTGGTATCTCATGAGGAGTCAAGGGCTGTTTGGTGTTACTGTTCCTGTTTTCGTTACAAGTTGGACACTTTGAAACCATTTCTTCGATTTCATTTCCTATGTCGGGCCAAAAGAGTATTTCACGTGCTCTCTGCTTACATTTGACGATTCCCAAATGAGCTTGATGAATTCTTTTAAGCATTTCACCTCTCAGGACCTTCGGAACAATTAACTTCTGATTTGTGAACAATAACTGGTGCATATAAGTGAGTTCATTTTGGTACGACCAGAACTCTCGAATGTCGGGATGTACTTGACTTCTCGCATTAGGCCACCCGCTCAATATTACGGTCTTCAAGTTCTGTAAGGCTGTGTCTTGATCTGTGGCATCTTGAAATTCTTTTAGTTTCCCTGGAGAAATTGGCAGTTCCAGATGCAAAAGACAAACTTCTAATTCTTCATCAAGAAGACTTTATTTCTCTTCATTTAAATGCGCTCGGCTTAATGTATCAGGGAGGTACATTTCTTTGCCAGGTTTGTAGGTTACTTCCAGACTGTAATGTTGAAGCTGAAGCAACATTCTCTGCAATCGAAGTGGCGTCTGGTGCAAGGGCTTTCGAAAGCCCTTGGCTGAGTGCGTTGGATCTCACATTTCTCACGATTCAGTTTCAAGTTCCTTTCTTGACACCGATCGAGGACAGACCTCAAGCGTTGGTTATGTTGGCTGATATTCTTCCCCCATACGAAAATGTCATCTGCGATGCATTCAACTCATCAAGTCCTTCGAGCAGTGTTGTCATAACTTTCTGGAAAACCTCTGGAGCTGACGAAATGCCAAATGGAAGTCTCTTAAAGCGATACCTTCCAAATGGAGTATTGAAGGTGCACAATGTGGAACTGCTATCATCAAGCTCTATTTGCCACAAACCAGAACTGGCATCAAGGGCAGAAAATACCAAGGCCTTTGGAAGTCGCGATACAGCCTCTTCAACAGTTGGCAGTGGGTAGTGCTCACGTCGGATGGCTCGATTTAAATCACGAGGATCAATGCATACTCTTAACTTGTTGGGTTTAGCGACAGTTACCATACTGTTTACCCAACTGGTTGGCTCAGACTGTGTTTCAATCAACCCGAGATCTACCATCCGTTCCAATTCCTTTATTCTGTGGCGCAATGCAGCAGGTACTTTTCTTGGTGGATGAATGACTGGCTTTATATTAGGATCTACTTCAATGTGATGTTTTCCAACTGACTGTATGCAACCAAGACCAGAAAATAAGTCTGGATAATGATTGAGAATGTCATCGCCACTTTCGTTGTCACCATCAGATCGATCCAAATTCATGATTCTTTCAATTAATCCCAATTCCAAACAGGTTTTCCTGCCCAGCAGTGATGGAGCATCTTCATCTATTATCTGAAATTGATTTGATAGAACTTGTTCTTTCGCTGACATTCAAATCTTGCTTTTCCAACTGGAGTGATTTTGTGCTCTGAGTAACTTACCAATCTGGCATTCGATGCAACAATCGGGAAAATGTTATTTTGAGCGATGTTATTTTGAACAATGCTGTTGTAAACATTGAGTGACATGACATTGCACTGTGCGCCAGTGTCAAGTTTAACTTCAATAGCTTTGTTGTTTATTATAATATTTTCGGTCCAGTCGTCGTCGCTAGAATTTTCCGCCATTCCGATGAAAAAATCATCCATCTCGTCTTGGGTATCAACTTGGAATGTTTGCTTATTCACTGGCTCTGATCACGATCGACAAACTCGAGCAAAATGGTTTTCCTTTCGACAATTATTACAAATCTTGTCAAAAGCTGGACAGGCCTTTTAATAACTAGAATGTTCTCCACCGCAATTTCCACACTTTCGTTGCACGTAGCCATAGTTTGACTGCTGGGTGGACTGATGTTGTTTTGAATACAACTTTGGATTTAGCGATTTACTCGGGTAAGTAAATTTAGATCTTTGCAGTGCATGAAGGGACTTGTCGTTGTCATCGTTAAATTCTTTCAACTCTCTTGCACTTGCTTCACTCGCACGACATATATCGATGGCTTTTAGTAAGGATAGGTCCGTTTCACGAAGTAATCTTGCTCGTACTTGATCACTTCTGATTCCTCCGACTATTCTGTCACGTATAAGACTATCAGTCAATGTACTAAATTCGAAATGTTTAGCTTTGTTTCTTAAATCGGTAGCAAAACATCGATTGTCTCAGTTGGTCCTTGTGATCGTGTGAAAAATTGATGCCGTAGAAACGTTAAATTCTTTCGTGGTTCACAGTACTGTTTGAATTTGTCTTTTAAGATATCGATTTTGTGTTCATCACCTTCCTTGGCAAAGTCGAAGGCGTTAAATACGGCACGAGCTTCTTCGCCGGCTACGTGTAGAAACGTGGCACACCATAGGAAGCCCAGACAAATGAGTTGGCCACTTGACTATACAACTAGTGACGTAACTTACTATATTATTAGGAAGGATGGAAACTCTCGCTTCAATTTTCAACATATTCACAAATTAAAACACAAATTACTATAGTAAAACGGCACGTCGGCTGCTAAATGCCTACGGTAGGTTTAAGTTGAATAATCAAACTATACTTTCATGATAAAAATAGTGCTGAATTCAAAGGAAAGCGCTGGAAAACTGTACACAAACTTTGTAAATTTGCCGAAATTTTCGTGAATACATGCGGGATGTAAGTACCCACCCAAAATGGCGGCTGGCAAAAGAATCTGATTGGTCGATCACTCTTTGTTTACCTTTCTCGACCAATCAGATTGGTTTATCGAACTTTGTTTACCTTTCTCGACCAATCAGATTCTTCCGCCGCCGCCATTTTAGGTAGGTACTTACATCCCGCATGTATTCACGAAAATTTCGGCAAATTTACAAAGTTTGTGTACGTTTTTTCAGTGCTTTCCTTTGAATTCAGCACTATTTTTATTATGAAAGTATAGTTTGATTATTCAACTTAAACCTACCGTAGGCATTTAGCAGCCGACGTGCCGTTTTACTATAGTAATTTGTGTTTTAATTTGTGAATATGTTGAAAATTGAGGCGAGAGTTTCCATCCTTCCCAATAATATAGTAAGTTACGTCACTAGTTGTATAGTTAAATGGCCAACTCATTTGTCTGCATGGGCTTCCTATGGGCACACTGGACTTTCTCGCTTTTCTCTGGACTTTCTCGCCAATTTCGCTCGCAATGAGAAAAAGTTCGAAGCTTTGAATCCACTTTCGCCAATTTTCTGCTAAGTTTCCTTCCAGGCATTCCAGACAAAGTTCACCTGGAGGCTTTAATTGTTCCATTTTGTTAAAAAAAATCCGACACCTGACACCATGTTATGTACTCGACATTCAGTGTTAAAAGATGTATATTTCATATCAGAAATCATTTATATACACATATAAATATTACGTCATTGAATAATAATTATTCCTAACTAATTATTCCAAAGTCTTAACACAGGGTAGCCATTTGTCTGCTTCAGCCCCTCTAAAATTTTCGGACTTTCAAACTTTGAACACAGTGCAGTTGCCGAGAAGAAATTTTGTGAAGTTTTAAGAAATTTAGCTGTTCTAAAATGTATAATGATAAAAATGTGCGCACGACTCGAGTCACTCAATAGCATAGTCATTCGATTGCGAATGTCGCTGTTAATGCTATGAGTGTGGTTTATTGGAAAACGCGGACACCGGACAGCGGACACTTTTCAAAATTTACGATAAACATGAATTAAAACGTGTTAAAGTATGTCGTTTTATTCGTGGAATAATAACGACATCTATTTCTATTTATCCATACAAGAATTTATGTATTATCAACTTTCGAATGAATCTTCGCGAGTTCGCCGCGCTTTAAATAAAATAAATATAGGAACACTACAGGCTTTTACATTTTATTTAAAGTGCCCGGGAACGGAGCTGCGTCTTGTATACAACAAACTTGTACGATCTATCTAAAATAAACAGTCGCTATTTTACTTTTACCAGAATACAACACTTTTAGGTTCACGTCCGAGCCAATTGTCTTTAACTCAACCATGAAGAGTTATCGTGCACGAAAGTATGGGGAATGAGAATTTTAATTTGCTAACAAAAGCGACGAGAAAGGTTTTTCGTCTATTCATAAATTATAGAGAACAATGCAATGGAACAATGAAACAATAGAATAAGGCAATTGACTCCTTTAGTTAGCTCAGGGTAAAACACTAACTAGTAAAACTTTTCGTTTAATTCCCGCGTTCTTTTTTTCAGAAAAAATATTCAAGATTGATTACGGAATCATTTAAGTTTGCATCCATGGAATTTTTAAAGAAAGATAAATCGTCATTTTCCATGTACTAGAACACCTGAATATATTATTGTCCAACATAAAATTCCTAAAAGACGACAAAGTACATACAAGCCTATTGTAAGCTATTGCACTTACAAAAGTGATCTGTCAGGCAGAACGAAATATATGTATATTAACCAACCCAAATACACATCAAATCAAAGCAGTGTATAAAATATTCTAATTTTCTCAAAATTTAAACTTTAATGTGAAAAGCGTCTAGAATACGCCCGAATAAAATTTATCTTACAATAACAATGCTGACCTATCTTAAAAGAATATAACGTGGGCGCTAACATATTTTTTCAGGGACAAGGTTTGGCAATCTCGTGCCAATTAAAGGCGAGGATGACTGCCAGAACGACCGTTGCTGATACCACAAGTACAAGGTAAAAATTGATTGTTCTAATCTTAAAAAATATTCCTTCTAGTGACAAATTTGCGGCCGATATTAACGAAACATGACTATGCGCGCTCAAAATCTAGAAAATGCATGCAACACTTTCTCCTCCTAAGCTTGCGGCATAACAGAAGAAACAACCGAATTGTAATTTCCCAGGCGGTGGGAAGCGCCGACCGAGGATGGTAATTCCGCTCGAATATTTTAATTACGCCTGGGAATGTAAATGCGAAATTGAGATTGTCCGCTATTAAGTAATGGGGGTTTAGCGTTTTTGTAAGATATGCGCACGCGTGAGTTTGAAACATGTTGAAACTGGTAACTAGCAAACGTTTGCAAACGTGCGAATAACTAAATTAAATTTTTCAGCATAACTGATATTTTGAGTTTTAAAACCTTTTTGAATTAATATTTTTCACTTGGATGATTATGAAAATATACAAAAAATTGACTTTAAGAGAGAATGTAAAAGTTGCCTTCGGGTAGAAAAACATTGTTTCAAATGGACGTTTCTCAAGCTTTTTTAGAGTGTTTTTGAACATGGGTAAATGAGTAGATTTTGTATTTTAAATTGTTAACGTATTTTGTAAGTGTAATAATTATGTGGATCTATCAACAAATGTATGACACCTCTCTGAATTTATTCGCAAATCTCGTTAAAATTATTTTGATTGGGAAAGCATTTATTTTGAAAAGTGAATAAAAAAAATTGAAAGAAATAAAAGAAATTGAAATTTCGCTAAAAATTGTAGTATTGAAAACTATTCGTAGTACAATAATACGATTATAATTACGAATTGAAGTTTATGAGTTCACGGGAACCAGGTATAAATCCATCGTAATTATGGCTACTCTGGTTTTAGTAAATGAAAGTAATTACCACACAAAGATTAACTTTCACGACCCAACGTTTCGACAGTCTAGTGTCTTCATCAGGGGTGATCTGATATTGAAACTCGGTTCCTTATATACTCTCAAAAAGACGTTATCTATTAATCAGATGTAAATATTCTTTTGGCAAATAGCATCCGTCATCCCTATTAAGGGCACAAAGACTCGCATTAATATGCCAGGCTTCCAAACACCGCCTTTGTCCATAACGATCATTAGTGGTAATGACTTTTGAATCGTTCCACCCAATGTTATGGTTAGTTTGACACACGTGTTCCGCCAAGGCTGATTTTGAACTGTCTAAGTTCGAAACGGCCTTTTGATGTTCTTTTAAACGTGTTCCGAACTGGCGTTTTGTTTGACCTAGATATTCTTTCTCGCAATCACCACATGGTATAGAGTATACAGCATGAGTTTTCTGTTTAGTCGCTACGCAATCCTTGGGTTTCGCGAAAATATGTCCCAATGTCTGAAAGGGTTTTAAGGCAACTTTTATACCACAATTATTCAGGATCCTCCTGATTGGTTCTGCAATTCCCTGAATGTATGGAACTATAGCAAAACCTGTGTTTGAGGATTCACCCTCTGAGGAATTGCATCTAGTTGAGACAGGGGATTTTAGACAATCGTTAAAAAGTTTCGTGGATAATTGTTCTCTCTTAGTACACTGAGGACATAATCACGCTCGTTGTCCCTAGCAACGCGATTGGATGGTAACGATTCAGCTCTTTGAAACAAAGTTTTTGCAACAGACTTTTTATGACTTTTTGGATGGTGTGAGTAGAAGGATAGATATTTGTCCGTATGTGTAGGTTTACGGTACGTAAACGTCAGTTTCTAACTGCCCTTCGATATATCTATGAACATAAGTATCCAAAAAAGCCAACTTTCCCTCACTCTCGCGCTCTACAGTGAATTGAATTGATGGCTCAATAGAATTCAAATATTTCGACCGGGGATCTCGGCAGTAATTGCTAACCGAGTAATGGAAGATGTCGAGCAAAGACCTTTAGCCTCTAGTCCGGTCAAACCTTTGTTTTGGAAACGATATGTTGACGATGTGGCCTCTG